CCCACATGCACACAGAGAGAAAGGCAAGCACATCTCCACACAGACGCCCAGAAACCCACACACTCGCGCACAGGAACAGGATGACGCGGTTGAGCTTAGCGTGATGCCTAGAAGCAGCAGGGAGGTGGACGAACAAGAGTGGGGCCGGACAGCAGTGAGGACTCGAGGCAGCACTGTGTCCTCAGCCCTCCTGGGGCCTGGAGCCAGCAAAGGGGAGCAGCCCTGGTGGAGGTGGATCTGGGCACACGCGGAGGCCAAGCTGGCAGGCTGATGAGGGGCGGGAGTGAGGGTATGGAGAGCCAGAGAGGGTCCACTCAGGGGCACTGGAGGGGCAGAGAGCAGCTCGGCTCGCAGGAGGCCACAGAGCTTCCAGGGAAGGTGCTGGGAAGAGGGCTGGATGCTGTCATCTGGGCTCCAGGGTCTGGGACAAGTGGAGAGTGTGGCGACTTTGTCTTTGATGGGGACTGAGTCCTGGACGTGGGCTGGAGACCTGAGGAGTGCCTCAGGACCAGGACCGGCCCAGCTCCCAGGGAGGGATGGAGCACAAGGAGCCCTTGTCAGCCTCCTTCAGGTGCCAGGTTCCGGGTGGGCACTTCTCACTCTGATAGCATTCTTCCTGGACAAGGCGAGCTCAGGGCCAGTTAAAAGGCGGTTGGGGTGGCTAATTATACAGATAAGCACCATCCATTCACAGAGTCCAAAACAAGCAGTGTAACCAGCTCTGCAGATTTCAGAGCCTTTGTGCAGGTGTGGGAGGGTGGGCTCCTGCCGTCAGGGTGGCCCGGCCCAGCATACACCACAGCAACAGCAAGGAGAGAGGAGCAGCGTGGACTGAGGACCATGCAGCTGCTCCTGCTGACCACGGGGCTGAGCCTCTTCTCTGCCATGCAAACTGAACGGCTCCCTCTGATGCCTGCTGGTTCTGAAGAGGTGACATCTTTGGGGAGGGATGGACATGGGACCTGGGTTTCCAAGGTCAGGACCCAGGAATGGGCAAGGGTCTCAGGAGTGTGGATCTATCTGAGTGGCAAGGTGTCCTGCATTATGCCCAGTGACATTCCCTGGGGGGCACCAAGCAGTGGCCAGAGGACAGCATGGCATCTTCCTGCCCTCTGGGGGCTGGAAGGGTGGCTTAGAGAGGCCGCAGGAGTTCCTGGCACAGTCCTGCCAGCCCTGCTGCCCAGAGACACACTTGCTCCTCTGTCAGCCATGGGCTTGGGAGATGCTTCTTCTGTTCCCCCAGTAGGGTTCTATTCAAGTTTCCTCTTCCCAGTGAAAGGCACCTGGATGACCATTTATGTCAAATCATGGATTGTCCCGAGAATTTTTTTACTTTAAAAAAAATTAGACACTTTTATAACAAATTTAAACCTCTGAGATAATCAGACATCAGCCTGACATCAGCCCCAGCCCTCACCAATGGATAAAGTGCATGGTTTCAGCTCTCTCCTCTTTGGCACCCTCTTCCTGGAAGTTAAACTGACCTGGTCCTGAACAGGTCCCTGGTCAAGGCTGGTGCCCAGGTATTCTGTGTCCCCCAAGGGTAAAGTTCAGGTTCTAGGCTCACACACCCTAACCCCAGGGCCTCCCCACAGTGACCTGAGGTCCTTTCTCATCTCAGGAGCTGACCAGCTGCTGGCCATGCTGTTGGCCACCTGGCCTAGGGGTCACCAGCTCCCTTCTCTGTCATTTGCCTTCCAAGACTGTGGTCTGGATCTGTCCTGCCCTCCTCACCAAGGGCTGCACCTGGACATTCCAGTTCTCCCCCATGATCTCTGGGTGCAGGAGACGAAAGAGGTCAAGGGCATGAGGCAATTAACACAGTCCGGTGTGGAGAGTCACATGTTCAAGGCCACTGTGACACACAAGTGCCTGTGTGTACGAGGTCAGCATTAACTTCCACTTGGCACCAGAAGAACCTTAATGCATCCAGTCTTTAAGGAAGGAGCCGCTGACTGGACTTTTGGGATGGTCCCATGCAGGCAGCCTGGCTGTAGCCATCAGATGAGCCCGTGCTAGGTCGTGTGCAGCCGTGCTGTTTCTCTGTGACCACTCACCCCCACCCTGTCCCCAGTAAGGACATGAATGTTCAAGCTGGACTTTTCTCAGCTCCTCCTCGGCAGCCTGTGCAGGATCCCTGGTCAGAGCATCTCCCTGGACTGGTGTTGCCCAGGAAGGCTTCTGCCTGTCTGCCTGCTGCTAACGGGCAGGGTCTGTGCTGTGAGCAGGACCACTCCTGCCTCCATGGTCTCAGACAACCAGCCTGTACCGAAACCCCAAGCCGAGCCCCTTCCTGCCTCTACTCTACTCCACTCCAGCCTGGCCCCTTTTTTCTCGCTCTCCCTGGTCCTGCAGCCCTGATAAGGGTGGACCTCTGTCCCTCCCCCTACCCACCGCCTCCAGCTTTTAGGAACCTGGCACATAATACGATGGGCAGGAGACATGCCTATTCCCGCAAAGAAGAAGACCAGCCCCCTGCCGCCCTTCAGATTCATCAAGAACAGAATCAATAAGTTGGAGTTTAGGATGAACATCAAGTGAGTTCCCTGAACACAGCTCCCCTCTCCATTCCCAGCCGTGCGCTGTGCAGCCCCAGCCCTCTTCTCCATGTGGCCCCCACTCCACTCACCCCTCTCTGGAAGACGCCGTCTTCTCCCCTTATCTCAGCAGAGTGCCAGGCGGCCTCTGTGAGCACAGGAATGATGCTCATGCTGACTCTGAGCACCAGAGGCCGTGGAGCCCACCGTCATGCTCTGTGCATTTGCTCTCTGTGACCCGGGCTTTGCAGCACAGCACTGCTTCTCCTGGAGTATCGGGTTAATAATATCCCTTAGTTATTGTGGGCTGACCAGGTCCACAATCTCCCGAATGAGTGTACAGTGAAGGCTAAACAAAAAGAGGCGAATGGAATGATTTCAGGGCTCCAGGAGGATGAAAGCCCTGTCACAGAATTTGAGATTCTGTTGGGGCTAAGACCAAGACCTTCCCTGGGGAACCCGTTTTCATTTGGTTATCAGAAGAAGGGAAGGGAGTACTCAAGAAGGGCAGAATTGCTCAAGGACTTCTCCAACTAAGGTGTTAAATTAATCCTTAATAAGGATTAAGTTAATCCACCCAGGAGTGACGCCTGACACTATAGTCTTTATCTAGTTGAGATCAGATCCAGGTGTCCTTGGCTGTGATTCTGTTTTATCCTTTTAAGCTTTCCAGCTTCATCCACCATTGCAGGTTTTAGCATGGATTAGTGACTCACAGAGGTTCACTTACTATAAGTCCATTGCCCACTTCCAGGCAAGCAGCCTAGGCTTTGGACAGATTCACAAGTAAACATAAAAAGCTAATTTGTTAATTGAAGTCCTGCTCAGGGCTACTTCATAGTGGTCTCCATCACTGGAGAAGCCCAGTGTCAGGGCTGTGCTGGGGGCAGAGCCAGAGCCTCCAGGTCCTTTGGGATATTCCACAACCAGTAAGGAACCTGGGCTGAAGCAACAACAGATATAGGACTCTGTCATCTGGGAAGCCCGTTTGGAGAAGTGCCTGGAGATTGAGGGCAGGAGCTGGCCACCATGGTGGGCAGAGAGCCAGGCTGCCCTGAGCCCTGCACTTGTGATGTGGGCTGCTCATCTGCTCTGTGCCTGCTTGATTTCTCCCCTGCTGGTGTCACCTGGCACACACAGGGGAGTACAGGGCCCACAGCAAGCCACTTCCCAAGAGGGGTGGCATGCTGTTACAAAGAAGGCCTCCTAGGAGACCCCAGACTTTGTCCCTTGGACCAGGATAGGAGTCTGGATGGCTTCAGAGAACCCATCCTAGGCTGTTTGAGCCCTTTCTTGGGACTGTATTCCCACTGGCTACCACACTGGACCCATCACAGCCACCCAAAGGGCCTTCTGTGCCTGTCGATCGCATGCTTGGGCGGCATACCAGGCAGCTCTTGGCAGCTGCAGGCTCCACGGTCCTGGATACCTGAGGGGCAACCCCTGGGGACCCGGGACAAAGTCAAAGAGCCCGGGCTGGCTGCTAAGTATTATGCATCAGGAGGAAGTGGGGGCTGACCTCACCTTGGGGCCTGTGGGGTGGGACCAGGGAAGGACTGGGCAGATGTCTGTAGTAAGAACCATGGTTGGACCCTGTGTTGCAGGAAACCCACCGGATGTTTTCTATTCAGGCTGCCTCTGGATGAATTTGATACCATTGGCATTTTCCATGCCTGTAAGTGGCCAGGTGGGCCTTCTTTGTTCCATGGATCATGTGGAAAGAGACCTGATGGTCTCTTGGATGACACATGGCCTGTGTCATCCTCAGGGTCAGGGCATTTCATTGTCATCCAGTTCCTGCTGAGGAAGGATCATGCCATTGCCTACTACCAGGGCAAGATGGACAATACCATCTACAAGATGATGATGCTTGTGGGTGAGTTCCCAGCCTTTCTGTGGTTGTGGGAGTTAATCAAGAGCTCTGGGGCACCAGGCACAGACAGGGTATGCTGCCTTCCTGCCCAGCCCCCTCCAGCTCCTACCCAGGGAGCTGTCCCGGGATTGCTGGACTCTCACGTGCTCATGTTAACATCTCTGGTGCTCGGACCCCATGACTACTCGTGTGGGCCTGCCACCTTGGTTCCTTCTTCTGTCCTTGCAGCAGTTGGTGTGGTCATGCTCTGACAGGGGTGTTACTGGGGCCTATTTGCCCTGGGGACACTGGGCAATGTCTAGAGACACGTGCTATTGTTATGCTGGGCTCCTGCCTGAAGACTCCCTCCTGGCTGGCCATGACAGAATGTTTGGGTGGGGAGCTCCAGCCTTGAGGGAGAGGCTCTCCCAGCCCCCTCTCTCTGTTCTACATAGATGGGGGTCTCTCTCCTCTCCCTGGCCCTCACTCTTCTGGTCTGCAGGCCGCACTCTGGATGAAAACTCAGACATCCTGAGGTTCTTTGAGATGTTTGTGGAGGAGAGAGGACTGAAAAAAGCACTAATCATCAGCCCTCCTCATGCTGGTAAAGAACCTTTCCTTATGTTTCCTTCCCTTTTATGCATGACTTTCCTGTAAAACGGTGAGCACATGAACATCCTCTCTTCTCCTGCCCCGTCTCTTTCTGGGTTTGCAGACAACTGTGAGTTGACCAGAGATTACTAAGGTATGGAGGGACCACTGCAAATGCTGCCTAGGAGTGAGGACCTAGGCCCACGACCACGTTCGCCCAACCGCAAGCAGAGCTCCCAGGACCCACACCTTGTCACGTTTCTCCTTTCAATAAAGGCGGCAGATGTGCCCTGGCCAAGTGTGTCACGTGGTATCAAAGGGTCCCAGCTTTGTCTTAATCAGGTGCAGGAAGACGCTCAGACATACTGATGATGCTCCTGAAGCAAGGGCTTTTCATCACCCCAGGTTCCTGCGCACAGGTGGCCTCCTCTGGGCTCAGCAGCAAGGCAAGCTGAGCAGGCGGAGAGAGGGGCGAGGAGGAGCCCACACTGTGGTTTGTGACAGATGCAGAGAGTAAGGAGGGTACTCAGGAGGGCGGGCTCAGCAACAGCCAGGGTGGGTAGTTACAGATCCTGGGATTTGGGGACAGCCCTAGAGTTCTGGTACCCAGGTCTGGATAGCTGCCCAGGTGTGAGAGCCCAGAGAGGTGGGTGGGGTTTGCAGGTGAGCGCTTGGCTATCACTAGGCATGAGCTAACCTGGCAGCGCTAGGCACTCTGGGAGCAGAGAGGCCCAGATGCCGAAGTATGACAGATGCAGAAAGCAGGAAGACATTAAAATGTGGGGAAGGGAGAGGTGGCAGGAAACAGAGTTAGAATTTTTGGAGAAGGGAAAGGGGACCGGGGGAAAGAGGAGAGGGGAGTGCAAGGAGCGGGTATAACACAATCAAAAGTGATCAAGAATGGTATATATGACCCGCGGCCCAGAACCAATAAAACTATTGTGTGTCTCAAACACACACTACTACTACTGCTATTAATAATAATAATACACAATTGCTAAAACTAGAGAAAGCTAGAAACATAAAAATGCACATTGCTGAGCCCAGATTCAAAGGGAAGAGAAACTGACTCCACCTCTCTGTGGGAGAAGTTCCAGCATACGGTGCCAAACTCTTTCCTCCGACCACAGTTATTTCCATGGGAAATGCACTCAGCCCCTCCAATGTGGTGGGACCACAAGATTCTGCCCGGATCTCAGGACAGGCTCTGTGGATGCAGTTCCCGAGGGGCAGGCCTGCAGGACCAGGCACTTGTGCCATGAAAAAACGGCTTGCCTGCCCAGCCCCTTGTGCAGTGGGCGGTACCACCGTGGCAGCTACAGTAGGTGGGCTCACTCAGGGATGGCCGGGGTGCAGAGGGCCCGGAGGACCTCGCCCTGTCCAGAATGAGCATCTCCACGGGCGGCTGGGAGATGGGGTCTTGCTCTCAAGGGGCTGAGTGCCCAGATTCCGGCACTCTCCCGTTCCCACAGGCATTTTCTCCTCCAGCTGTCCCAAATGGAAGGGCTACGCTCTGGTTTCTCTTTAGATTGCATACATCGTTTGCCTTTTTCCAAACGGCAGGGCTGGGAAATTGTGGGGCAGGATGCCTGAGTCTAGATGCGCTGGTACAGAGAGTCTGGGTCTGCCCTCTGCTGTCCAAGGTCGGGACAAGTGAGACACTTTTCATGTGAGGGCTTCGATAACAGAACTTCCCAGGGTGATGTCAGCTATGCAGGAGCCTGTGTGCTCAGGGGTGTCGTGTCTACATGAGACTTGATGCCCTTTTGTTCTAAACTCGGGAGAGGAGCAGGATTTTAAGAAGTCTCGGGCACGGGGACCCTGGGTAGAAACTCCCCTTGTTCCCTGGATGTCTCTGGACCACAGAGTCCCCTGCAGAGCAGTGTGCCTGTTGGTTGAGCACAGGACACGAGAAGATGCCAGTGTGTAGAGAGGACCCTCAATGGGAGGAGTCCCCATGGTGAGAATTGAGGGCAGGGGCTGGTACTGCTGATACCTTCACCCCAGCCGGGACCTGTCCGGGTCTTCATCCCTGGAACGTGTGAATGTGACCCATTAGGGTAAAGGGGGTTTTGCAGATGTGATTCAGTTAAGGATCTTGGGGTGAGAGATTATCCCAGATGATCAGGGTAGGCTCACTATGGTCACAGGTGTTGGGGGAGGGGAGACAGAGACAAAGACAGACAGACAGAGACAGAGACACAGGCAGACACAGAGCTAGTTATATTAGAAAAGCAAAGGCCAGAAAATGCTGAATGGCTGGCATAGAAAATGGATGCAAACCCATACATTGTAGAATTGGCAGCCTCTTGAAGTTGGAAAAGGCAGCAAACAGATTCTCCTCGGCAGACTCTGGAAGAAACCAGTGCAGCTGAATCCTCGGTTTCAGCCTGTGCAACATACTGAAAGCCCTGGAGCTACACATATGACCCGCCTCAGCCACAGCTAGGCTTGCAGTGCGGGCTGTGTTCTGCTGTCAGGCAGGCAGAAGGCTCGAAGTTTCTTCCTACCTGTGAATGGACGAGAGACTGCAGACTCTGCCCTCTCTCACTGTTCCCCCGCCCCGACGGCTGTCTCCACGCTCCCTTTGCTCCCACTCAGGCCCCTGGGGGTGAAGGGAGAAATCTGCCTCCAGTGTACTCCTGCAGCCTCTGAAGTTACTTTGTGGTCACCCTCCAGGTGTCACCAACAGGAGCTGTGACTCAGGGGACAGCCGCAGGGTCCTTTCCCTACTCCCACCAGCCTGAGTAGGGGTCCAGGGGCAACCCCTAACAAGGTTAAGACTGGGAAGGCAGTGGGTCCACTGCTGTTATTCCCAACCCTATGGGCCATCACCAATGCTGCCAGCCTTCCCGGAGAAGGCCCGAAAGCAGTGGCAGCTGTTAATCAAGCGTCACTTCTCCTGGTATGCCTCCAGTTTCACCATGACAGCTGTAGCTATTCTAGATGTTTTGCAACCATTCCAGGATTTATCTGCCTTGACTGCAGCAGGATTGAACTTGGGCCAATCAGAAGCCCACTTCATGTGCAAAACCGGGCATGTCCAGGTCCACTGCTGTCTGCACTCATGCCGCTTGAGCCTGTCTAGGAGGCGCCCTCTGGTGCACTGACTTCTGGGCTGCAGCACATGGCCGAATAAAGCATTGCTTTGGAGGTCCAGCAAATTTACCTGGGAATCTCACCCAGGGTAGTGTGGAAAAGAGTGGATGCTTAAAAGAAAAAGCCATAAACACTGGGATCTGCAAGCCCTGAGCTCCAGAGATCAGCAGGAATCAAAACAGATCAGGAGAGACTGGCATCACCGAGGTGACCAGCAGCAATCTGCGGTGGTGATTGTTTTGAAGCAGTGGCATCGACCAGCAGAGTTCTGTAGCCACAGAACAGCAATGGCTGGAGAATGTGGTGGAGACCTACAGAGATCTACAGAGAGCTCCACAGAAGCAGCAGAAGCTGCTGGAAGAGTCCCAGGTTGCTACCAAGGGTGGTACGAGCTTCAGCCACTGAGAAGCTGATGCAGGCGTCCAAAGCTGCCAACAGCTACTGGAGGCTGAGAGCCACTGACGGTCAAAGTCCAGAACTGCTAACCTGGTGGCACTTATTCACGAATTTAACTTTCTTTTTTTTTTTGGCACATTAAACCCAGGAATTCACACTAAAGTAAGCTCCCACGCCCTTTGTTTTTATTTTGAGACAGGATCTTGGGAAGTCACAAAGGTGCCCAGGTTGGGCTTGAACTTACTCCTGCCTCAGCCTCCCAGAATGCTGGAATTACAGGCATCTGCCACCAGCTCCAGCGTGACATGGAACTTTGACAGTTCATGATTTCCATCTGAAACGAGCAAAAGAACTCTTGACTGATTGATAGTATATGTCAGGTCAAAGGGGAGGGTATCTATTACCAGAGAACTGATTTCCTCACTGCTTTCTCTGCCAACTTAAAAGGCAAAGCATTTTGAGTTAATTCTTTTCTTCTATCCCCTATTAAGTGACTTTGAAGCAGCTGTCCCTGCTCCTGCCCACAAATGACTTTTGCCATTGTGTGTGTGACTGTGTGACGTTGCTTGCATTTGTAGAGTGTAGAGCGGCCGTATTGAAGAAGGCAAATGGGGTGTGGATGGGGCACAGCATAAAATGACACCACAGTGGCTTCAAGTGTTAGCTGTGGGTTGCTTGTTGGGTCAAAGCAAGGCTCTGGAAAATCAACCAGCCCTCAGCCACAAGTGCAGTGATGATGACGTTGCAGATATGGGCAGGGAGACATACGGGAGATTTCAGAAAGATGCTAAATTTGAGCACAAGTAAAAGTCAAATAACCAGAGAGGCTGCATAGTGACTTTAAGATAATATGTGATTCTTGTAGCCATGGAACAGCAGTGGGTGAGAAATGTGACCAAATTTAACAGTGTGTGTTGCAGAATTCATTGGTAAGTTGACTCAGATTGGTCAAGTCTCTTATGTGACAGTTGTGTCATTCAGGAGACTGGACACACAGGAATGAGACATGTATGTGAGCTCAGGGAAAAGTGGGAGCCATGTTCCCCCACTTGCTTGCCCGAGGATACCAGATCTCCCCTTAGTGGAACCTCTGCTGAGGTGGCTGGGTGGGAGTAGGTGCTAAGTGTGTTACACATGGAGGACATCCGTGTGGTGTCTTGTCAACACTGGTGCACTAGGAACCCCAGGGCTCTCAACATGTGACCACCCTGGACCACCCCTGACTGAGACATGCACATCCAGTAAGGCTCCCCGCAGCATGAGGCCAGGCCCTAGGGTGACCCCAGCCTCAGCAGATGCCTGCAGAGGACCTCAAGCTGCCCCGACGACTTTCTGCTTGTTCTGCCAATGCTGGACCTCCTTTCTTAGAGCCTTTCCTAAACAGGGCTCACAGGTGTGACTCTGTACACAGAAGTATCTCTTCAAGGACCGCAAAGCCTTTCCTTTGGGTGTGACGATCAAGAAGGCCAGGGCCTGTCTCCCAACCTCAGTCAGAACAGAGTCCTAACTTGCACGAGCACCACCAGCAGGTACCCCTGGCTTAGCTGCATTCACACCATGCAAGGCCTTCCGTGTTCCTTTGGGTACCCCGCTCTCTGCACCTCCATCTTCTTCACTGTCCCCTTGTATCACAGCTTACTGCAGAAACAGATTTAATGTAAGATACTTATATACATAAGGACTTACAAGGTAGGCTCACAATGGCCACCCACAGTCAGGTGTGGAAGAGAGCAAATAAGGCAGTCTGTGCCCCAAGATCTGAGGATCCAGTTGAAGACTGAAGGCCTGTAGCTCACTCTAGTGTCCCATGCAAGTCTGTATCAGGAGGCCATACAGTCTGCACTGGAAGCCAGGAGATGAATTCCAAGGTGAAGGTGAAGACTGGAGCTCCTCTGAAGAAACAGAAGCGAGACTTCCTTTTTTGTTTCCCTTTTATTCCATCCAGGCTGCAGGCCTATTTGTTGGTGCCCCTCAAGCCCAGGCTGGGTCTTCTTTCTGCAGTAAATCCTTTTAGTCACACCCAGAATGATACTGATCCAATTTAGAGGACATTTCTCACTTGTGCTGACACAATCAATTAACTATTGCACCCCTTAAAACTCCTGGTGACCTCTGCACCAATCAGCACGGGGTCAGCCCTTTCCCCTACCGTCAGAAGTTACTCCTCAAAATCTGCATTACTGTGCAGCCTTTAACTGCAAAAGTGCATGTAAGAAATTCTGCATTTAAAAGGTTGGCTTGAGCAACTGGGAGCTGTTATGACAGTGTGCTTTAGAGTGGCTGCAAACCAGCTGCAGCTGATGGTGCAAAGGTCATGCAAAGAGGCCAGGGCTGCTTGTAGCATCACATGGGGAAAGGAACATGCACTTTCCTTTGTGTTCACCAGGTTTGGTGAGACTCGGGCATGGGAACGGCTGCCGTGGAAAACCTCCATGACACTGAGATCCCCGAAACAGAGGGTGTGGCAGGCCATTTAGGTCCTCCAAGGAAACACCAGGGCCAGAGCATCCTTGCACTTTCTACAGGAAGGGATGGACGAGATGGGGTAAGCAAGCTTACGGCTGATGGGCGGGGATCATCCCTGCAGTCTCTGAGGCACACGGCGCCCCTCATCGTCCCATCCGTATGCCTGGGGCTGAGGAAAGCAGGGTGGTGGTGGCCAGCGTGCCAGCACCACAGAGGAGGTGATGGGCAAAGGCTGCACATGAGAGACATGTTCACGGATGAGCCACTTGCGATCGCTAGGGGTTAGCTGAATCTGGGAGGGGATGATTCTCAAGGGCCCAGATGTCAAGCGCCAGAATATGGAAAAGGAAAGACAGGGCTGATAAGGTGGGGAGTGCCAGGAGACAGAGGGCGCCCAGTAACTTGAAAGGCAAAGTTTACCATGAAGAATCACTAATTGGGAACAGGGCAAGGAGAACCCTAAAGAATATAGAAATAAGAAATTGGAGCAAGTTCCACCCCAGGGTTGAAGTGGAGGAGTCCAAGGAGGAGCAAACACAGAAGGGGTTCAGCCACCTGGAGAGGGTGTGGCGGGGCTGGGGGGTGGCACAGAGGTTTGCTGAGGTCTGAGATCGGGGCTGGTCGGCTGGGGGATCTGTGGAAGTGCGCCCTGGAACACACAGGGAAGCCCCTGCTCCTCAGCACCCTCTACTGAAAAGCTTAACCCTGTACCGGCTCAAAGGAGAAACACCCACTGGGTGCAGCCCTGGGAAATCTCACCCGTGTCCCCGATTCCCATCCCTGCGTGCAAGACGTGGTGAGCCCTTCAAGAGTACCCAGCCCCTCCCTCACTCCCCTTCTTTAGGGCCTCCCTTCTGCACACCGGCTCATTTTCATGTTCTGTGTCCCATCAATAGGGTAGAGTCAACCGGACCCCAGAGCGACACCACTGCCCGGGGATGTCCAGGGCTCCAAGGAGGGGTTTTTCATCCAGGGTCCTGTTGCCCGTACAGATGTGAAATCCCACTCTTGCAACCTAAGCCATAGTCACAAAGGACATTTTGCTCCTTGTCTAGGAGCAAGTTGCACTTAGAAGCCCTCTGAACAGACGAGCTTCTTGCAAAGCTGACAGCACACAGGTGGCCCCTTCATCCAAGGCTCCGTGTGAGAGAAGCAACAGCCCCACTGTGGACAGCAGAAAACACATACAGAGTTCCCTGCCCAGGCACATCCTGCCCTGCCCTACTCCAGCCCCTTCATGTTGGCCGGCTAGAGGGACAACACAACAGAAAGAGGAGCTTCCCGGGGTCAGGTGCCTTGTGAGCTGGACCCCGTCCCCCAGCCTGGCCCATGGAGATGCTCCTCCTGGGGAAGCGGTGGGTCCTCTTTGGTCCTCCTATCTTTCCATCCGGAGTGAGGACATCCACCGTGGCTGTCACACCTGCAGCTCTGACAGTCTAAGGGACCGGTGCCCAGACAAATTGCTTTTTCACACCAGAACTCTCTGCTTGGGCAGGCTGTTCCTCAGGAACCTTAGCAAAAGGCAGAGCTGACCTGACCCTAGTCATTCAGTCAGAACCTTATGTTTCCTTGAGACTGGGGAGGGGCGGTCTTGGGACAGAGATGCTGTGTATTTTGCACATAAATAACTGGGCAAGGGAAAGGCTGTGGTATATGTAAACTGGGCACCGTGTGTACACCTTTGCCTGAGGATAGGTGGGATTCATTTCGCTTCTCTTTGAGTCTGGACTCAGCCATGTGCATTTCCTATTTTTTGTATCTTCAGTGTTTTGTTGTCTGGCTCTGTCTCCCCTGGAGGGCCTGGCCCTCCTAGGTTAGCTAATTCCTAGAAACGTAAAGGCTGGCCTGCAAGCCCTGCCTGTCACATGCGAAGAGCCCACAGCCCAGCCTCCTCTGTGGCTCTCATACCTGGGCCAGGAGCCAACACCAGGGACCAGACCATCCCGAACAGCTGGCTCTGGAATTACCCCACCAGGCAGTTGTAAGAGGGGCTTTCCACATCATTTCCACCCCTCACAGACACTCCGCCCCCAGCCCCTCTCTGCACCTGCGGCTTTCCCACACCTGTTTCTGACAAAGTCCACGTACATTCAACCCCGTGGAATGCTCATGGACAGGGACATCAGCCAGCTTTATTGAAAGGGAAGTGTGGATGTCCAGCTCTCCAGCTCCAGGGAGTTTTGCCTGCAGCTGGCAAAAGTCAGCCACGATCCCAGCTCCTCGTGTTGGGCAGTTTCTGCAACGCTCTGTCCAGGCGCTAGGACTCTCTGGTCAACTTACAGGCATCTGCAGATCCACAGAGATGAGGGGCAGAGAGAAGGACTCATGCAGTCACCATTTTACAGGAAAATAACGGGTAAAATGGAAGGAGAAATAAGGAAAACAAATCTCTTCTCATTACCGGCCTGGGGAGGAGTGATGAACATTGCATTTTCTGACACTTTGCTGTGCATAAACTGCTTGAAGATCCCCAAGGCATCTGGATCATTATCAAGGGTGCGCCCTGCAGGCCGGGTGGGAGGCAGGTGGGCGTAGTGAGGCAGGAGCCCCCCAGTCCACATGGGCCTGGGAAGACCAGCTAGGGGACTCCTCATCCCTCATACTGACAGGTCCCCAGGGCCCTCTAAGCCCCAAGAAGACTCAGCCATGCTGTCCCAGGAGCACCCGGATGAAGCCCTCCAAGCCCAGACCTCCTGGGAAGGAGCCAACCAGGTGGACACCTTAGGTTGGAATTGTTTTGCACCTTGCTTGAGCTAAGAGGCACCTGACATGGTGAGCTTCCTGTGGGGCTGACAGTCCCCTCCCCCACCCCTCCTCTGGCTCCAGGGAAAAGGGGTCCCCACCCTGGAGAGCAGAGATGTGAGTTCTCTCTACAGGCACATTCTGGGCTCTGGGACACTCTGCCCATTCTGCCTGAGCCCCTCTTGTATGGTGATGGAGACCACTATGAAGTGGCTCTGAGCAGGATTTAAATTAACCAATTGGCTTTCCATGTTACTTGTGAGTCTGTCCAAGTCGTAGACCCCTTGCCTGGAGATGGGCGGTGGACTCATAGTAAGTGAACCTCTGTGAGTCACTGGTCCCAGCTGAAGCCCATAGTAGCCAGTGAAGCCAGGATGCCTCAAAGGACAAGACAAGGCCACAGCTAAGGACGCCTGGCTCCAGCCTCTATTAACTAGATAAAAACTGTAGCTGCAGGCATGTCACCCCTGGGTAGAGACCTTCCTGGAGATAACATGATCCTCCTAAATTAACATAATGTCTTACTTGGAGAAGCCCTTGAGTGGTTCCCGCCTTTCTTCAATATTCCCCCTCCTTGTTTTGATAAATAAATAAATACGGGCCACCCAGAGATCTTTTTCTTAGCCCCTAGTGAATCTCAAATTGTTAGAGAGTTTTGATCCTCCTGGAGCCCTAAAATCATAGCCCTTGACTCATTTATTTAAGCTTTTGCCATCCACTTGTTTGGGAGATGTGGGCCTGATCGATCTGCAATAACTAAGGGATAATATTAACGCGTTAGTATGGAAAACCCTGGGCATGATGGCTGGGGGAATATCAGCTGAAAATGGGAGATGTCCACTTATCAGTGACCTCCCCCCACAAAATCAGCACCGTGACTCCCTCCTGAGCATGACCTTATGTCCCCACTTGGCCCATAAAAGCAAAGATGCTCACCCTAGGGAGGGATAATTCACCCTGGGGAGGGATAGTCCACCCTGTGCCCTTGTGTCCTCCACAACCTGGCACCCAGTTTCCAAGCCCGCAGCTTCTCCCTGCAGCCACCTGGTCTCAGAGATTGCACCCTGGGCCTGTTCTGACTTGTAGTGTGAGCATTTACCCAGTACTGCACGAGGCACCCTGCACTCCAGAGGCCCCACCCTGCCCTGAGCCTTCTGGTACAGAGGTTTGTCCTTACTGGAATCAGGGTGGCCAAATAAGAGGAGGGACATACAAAATTCCATTAAGGAGAGGAAGGTGCAAAGTCACCCAGGGACGCCTCTGGGGCAGGTTACTCTCTGTAGGGGCATTCTGTGTGCGGCAGGGTTGAGCGGCTCTGAGGCTCCTGTCCTCCAGATGCAGAGACCCCCAGCCCTGCCATGTGACAACAGCACACCTCTCCATGTGCTTCTCAATGTTTCCAGGAGCCACTGGACCCAACCCATGTCCCCAGTCAGTGTGACCACACCAATGGCTGACCGAGAAGGAACAGGAGGGGACAGGTCGTGAAAGGACACCAGGATTGATATCATAACAGCTACAAGTCTAAGAGCTTACAAATCCTTCTCCCACAGAGTCCAGGAATCCCAGCAAGAGTTCCCCGGGTGGAAAATGGGGGAAACTGGGCAGGAAGGCAGTATACCTCATCCATCCCCAGATCCCCAGGAGCCCAAGACCAACTCCTACAAGCTCAGAGAAGGCTGGAACTCACCCATAAGCATCATCATCTGGTAGTGCTTGAAGTTCATGTAGCCCTTGTAGTAGGCGATGGCATGACTTTTCCCTGGCAGGAAGTAGATGTAGATGATATGCTTCCACCCTGCAGGCGACACAGGCCCAGCTGAGATCATGTGAAGACCCATCGGGTCTTCTTAGGTGGACTCTGCTGAAAGTGTTCTCATCTGGCTACTTACAGGTTTGGAAGCTTCCAGGTTCAGCTCCAACGTCCAGTGGCAGCTTGTACAGAACACATCCAATGGGTTTCCTGGAACACAGGACTCCAGCATGGTTCTTGGCCCAGACACCTGCCCACTCCTTCCCTGCTCCCATCCAATGGGCCGCAGCAGTGCCAGGAACAGCAAGAGAGTCCCTTGGATGGAGGGTCCATTGGACACTTTGTATGACTCTGGCTGGTCAGGACCGGGCCTGACCCAGGAAGAACACAGGACCCCGTGCAGCCCAGGCTGGGTTCTCTGAAGCCATCGAAGGCTCCTGTCCTAGTCCAGTGGCTGGGACTAGGCCTCCAGGGCAGCCCTTCACTCTACCATTGGGATACAGCTCCAAGAACAAAGTTGCTGTGGACCCCAGTGTCCCCTCTCTGTGTTCCAGCATGGGACAGTGCGGGCACAGGCAGAGCTGATGAGCAGCCTGCAACAGCAACTTCAGACCTGCCTGGTGCCCTGCTCAGCCCAGGCTACTTCCCACCCAGGAGGTCAGGTTCTGCCCTACATATCCAGATGTTTCTCCCAATACATGTTCAAGGTGACAGTCCTGGATCTGCCCTCACTCTGGCGTGGGCTCCATACCATTCCTGGAATGTGCAACAAAAGCCATAAGAATCCCAAGGCTCTATCTGTGCATAGACACAAGGACAGCACCCACATGGGGCTGCTCCAGGAAGCTGGGTCCCGGCGATGGCTGCAGCTTCCTGTGCTCAGCTCAATGTCAGCGTCGGCATCATGTCTAGTTGCAGAGGTCACCTGGCACATTGCTGAGGTCGCAGGAGAGGATACCATATTCCACATAGCGTCAGGCTTAGTTCAGGGGCCACGTGGGGGATGTGGGTTGGGGTGCCTGGCACGCAGGATACTCACATGATGTTCATCCTGAACTCCAACTTCTTCATATTGTTTATGATGAACCTGAAGGGAGGTAGGGGATGGGACCACTTCTCTTCAGGAATAGGCAGGTTTCCTGTCCAGTGCATTATGAACCAGTTTCCCAGAAGCTGCAGGGGGAAGCCATGTCTGAGTAGAGCTGCAGGGGGAAGGAGCAGCCAGGCAAAGGAGACTCAGGCTGGATTCACACAGGGTCTCCATGGAGGCTGAGGGGGGCGATGCTAAGATACTGGAGCAGGGAGTCCCGGTCATGGAAGATCCCGCCCATCAGTACTAGGCAGAGCCAGGGCGGCCAGACAGGAGTCCCAGACATCACACTTCCCAGGAGGGATTTCAACCAGGGCTCCAGACGGGCCCCTAGAAAGGCGCGGCAGAAGTCACCAGAAGGAACAATATGAATCTTCTTTAGGACGATGAGACAGGAGGATGAGGCAGTGAGCAGAGCTGGGGAGAGGGTGACCAGACAGGAATGGACAGCAGGACCACGTACTGACTGAGTCTGGGCTCCTCAGATGCCATGGTCACTTCGGTTGTGCCATGACCAGCCCATAGGTTCCAGCCCACACCTCCTTCCCTGCAGATGCCTGACTTCTCAAACGAATGGACTCAACAATGTTCTTCAGAAACCAAACAGCAGCCACTACTGACCCTGTACCCTCAGGCACCTGAACCTGACAGTCACAGAGGCCTGGAACTCCGTGGTCCCCACACCAGCCTTGGTGCCCGCTCCCACCTTGTTCCTGGATCCTGGGATCCACATGCCCATGACCTCATTGGTCTCCTGCTCCCAGGAGCTCAGGGCTGTGGGTGACACTGGGATAACTGACCCCTACCCCTTTGGGATGGGAAGAGTGGGGAGACTGGAGTAGAAAAAGCAAAGAGGGAGCTGGGGTCCCCATCCCAGGCATCACAGAGCAGAATCAACAGCTGGCCAGCCCCCTTAGGGTGGGAAGGAAGATTGGGGTCACTATGGGGAGGCTCTGCAGTCAGCTGCTGGACTGGTAACCAGAGCGTGCCAGGGTGCCTAGACACTGGTTTCGCCCCCCCCTCCGAACATCTTTGGGATCAGGTCTGTTTAGCTTCTTGGACAAGGACTTCAAAGATAATGGAAACTCCATGCAGGTACCTTTATCTATCCATGACAGTGCCTGAGTTGATACTGCTCATGCCCTGGGGCATAGATCTTGTCCTAAAGCACACTTATTTTTAAAGTCAATAATTCTTGGGCAATCCATATTTTTATGTAGATGATTATGGATGAGACTATGTGCAATGAAAATTCTGGGTAGAATCTTTGCTGACGAGCATAAAGAAGTTTCTGAGGCTCATAAGCAGACAGAGGGAGGAAGTGGGTCTCTGGCTGAGGGGGCTGGCAGGACCCCGCCCAGGGGCTGTCTGGGGCAGCCTCCCGAAGCCTCCGGGTGCCTGCTCAGAAGACAGGAAGACGCAGTGCGTCCCTGAGCACCTCTCAGCACACCCTCCTCAGCACACAGACCAGTCGTAATGCGGGACACCACACTGACGCCCATCCATAGCTCCCATCCATGGACCTGAGGATCTTGTGCAGTCCAGGGGCCAGCTTTGGAAACCCTTGGTTCCCTCCCCGAACCCTCTCCAGGGCTGTTACCTCCGCAGAGCGGGCAGGAGTCAGAGGAAGGCTTTCAGCTCCCTCCACAGAAGGCAGGCGCAGCCCGATGGCCAGCAGGAGCAGCTGCATGTTCCCCATATCATCTCTGTGCTCCTGGTGGCCCACGGCTGCTGCCATTTATCCTGCACTGACAGGCACCCCAGGCAGGGATTGCAGGACCCCCACCCATGCCCTGCGCAATGGCTCAAGCAATCTGTGCTGCAGGGCTGAGTGCACTGTTTTGCTTCTGTGGAGGTGAATGGCTGGAGTAATTGGTGAAGTCAGCCATCCTGCCTGCCTTTTGACACAGGCCAAGGAGGCCTTGTTCAATGCAAAGCGCGTGCCTGAGAATCAGAAGCCAGGAAGACGACAACAAAAGCTCCTTGTGCTCCCTGCTCCCCGTGAGCCTGGGCCAGTTCTGTCCCGTCAGGCTCCTCAGAGTCGCTCTTCCTTGCTGAGGCCCCAGTTCCCACCTGAAGAGAAGTCAGCATAGCACACTTCAGACTTTCAAACTCCAGAGTACCCGCCCTCCCCATACACCTCCCTGGGCCCTGACGCACCCTGCAGACCAGTCCTTGGTAAGCAGCTGTCCTCCCTTCCCTCCCACACCCAGCTTCTGTGTCCGGTCTTCCCACCTTTACGAGGCTGCTGGAGACCTCTGTGGCTGTCCACAGCCTCAGCCCTGCCACCCATCACTTGGCCTTTAGAATGTGCCGCATCCACCTCCTCCCAGGCTGCCCCTCCCTCATTCCAGGCTCCAGGAGGGCTCAGGAGACTTGATGCTCCTGAGGTCCTGACAGCTCCCTGGTCTCACCTCCCACTTCCTTCTACTCCTAGACCTTGCATCACAGTGCGGCCACAGCGTCTTGCTCTTGTGCAGTGTGTGTGCACTGTGGGTGCCTGTGTGTCCATGTGAACATGTGCGTGTATGTGTGCCTGTGTATGTCTCAGTGAGCATCTGCGTGTGCGTCTACACCTGAGTGCATGTACACGGTGTCGATGAACGTGTTGCTCGTTGTGTTTTGTGTGTCTGTGTGTCTGCGTCTCTGTGCACCTGACACGTTCACTGGATCCCGCTGTGCACTGTGGTCTGGGTTCAGTGTGTTTCATTCTTTGTCCTTCTTTCTTCTGACTGTCTCATCTCTGTTAGAGACAGGTGACTCCAGCCTCCCGCTTTGCAGGTAACATAGGTTTATGGGCATGTACACCTGAGGACATCCGAGGAAGCAGAGTCAAGAATGATCCCCAGGCAGCAGGTGGGAAGACTGGGGGGCCCTGAGAGGCATAATGATGTGCCCAGCATCACATTCCTGATAAAAAAAAGAGGGTTCTGGGTTGAATCCAGCTGTCAACCCAAAATTGGGGTACTGGCTGCACCCAAGCCTGCCCAGGGACAGTCAGCTGGGGAGTTGCAGTCACTCTGTCCAGTCGTGCACGTGGCATAGGGAGAAAGGAGTGGTGAGCAGCACAGGCCTTTGTGGAGAGCTAATGTAGGAAAGGTGCAGATGAGCTGTTCCTGGGAGGTGACCTCACTTCTTTGACCACGAACCAAACAGAACTTGGAATTCTGTTTCCCAGACACCCGCCTTCCACAGGTGGCCAACCCCAGCCAGCTCCCTTGTCCAGAGAGGCAGGAAAGAGCAGGGTGTTCTTGTTCTTCCAACTTGTCGAGGGTCAGGGCCCTCAAAGTATCGAATGGGGCCTCACCTATGGCCTCTGGCAGTTTTTCTGGAGGACCCCAAAGTGGCACAGGGAAGGGCAGTGCAGGCCAGCCCGTCACTCTGATGCCCCTCAGGAAGCACCAAATGTCTCCCAGGTGTCTGTACATGTATGTGACTATTTTTTTTCTGTGTTGTTTTCACTTCACTCTATGACAATAAGTCATTTTGCAGTTCGCTGTTGTTTCTGTGTTTGAATCTCCCCAGGGTGAAAATGAGTCAGCCCCAAACTTGGATGAATCCTGCAGGTGGAAATTCTCAATGCAGGCATGCTGGAGAAGATGTGGAATCACCTGGTGCCTGTTGTGTGTAGCAGGGACCACTTCTTCAACTGTACCATCCTGTACAGCCACAGAAACTTTACCACCACCTGATAAGTGTGGATTTGCTGTTCAAAAGTGAATGCCACTGTGATGCCTGGTCTGGACTCACCACCTCTTGACTATGTTGGGAATGTCCTGAGTGTTCTGAACAGGATTTTTGACCTAGAGACAAAAGAAAAAAGACCAAGCCAAGCATCACAAGTTCACACACAGGTAAGACAAATGGGGCAGCAGGAAGGTCTTATTGATTTTATGAGTTAAAGTCCTGTTATTTACATTGGCACATCTCTTTATGCAAAATGTGTCTAGTCTATCTCTAAAAGTTGCCAAAGTCTTAATGGTTCCACGATTACTGAAAAGTCCAACTCCAAAGTCTCCTCTGAGACTCAAGGCAAACTCTTAGCTGTGAGCCCCTGTAAAAATCAAAAAGAAAGTTAAACACAAGGACATGTAATGGCACAGGGTAAAACTTCCCACTACAAATGGCAGCAATGGGGGATAGAAACCACTGGAACCAAAGCAAGACCTAAACCCAGCAAGGCAAAGTTTAAATCTCATAGCTCTGTGTCCAGCATGCAAGGCAAAGATATGAATGCCGGTGGCTTCCATTTGGCCTTTCCTACCATAGTAGCCCTCACACTAGATGTAGACTAGGGAACCAACATGGGGATTCTTCCAACTACTAAGTATCTATTCCAGTTATGCAATCTGGAACTGGGGAAATGACCACAGCATGAACATACTGTAAGTCAAGCCCTGGCTAAAACTCCATTGGCCACCTGACCCCTATAGGTCCCTACTCTTACTGGAAGGCTGTAATGATGTCTTGGGTCTCCTGGAATCGGTGTTGGTTCAGAACCAGTGTTCAGTAGCTCCTCAAATGTCAGATCATTTTTTCTTTGATGTACAGTGACTCTGGTAAAAGGTCTTGTGTCACTTTGGGGAAGGACATCAGAAAGACTCACAGTATAATTTTTTGGTAGTTCACCAGGATCCTTCCTCGAAGGGATTCAGGCTTCCCTTCATTCAAGGAGTAACTGGCTCATCTCTGGGAACTGGTGGATTTGCCATGATTATCTGTTGCTATGATTGGAGATACATTTTTGTTCATTTACCCTAAAATTTTGGTTTATATAAATTCAGTGAAAATGTACTAGGCTTCTTATTCACTTTGCATTTGGGAACACAATAACTAATCAGCTAGCAAACCCCATAGGTCTACATGTGTTAAACCATTTCTATCATTGCTTTACTTCTGTTGTCCATTACAGTATGTCTACTACAGTATGTCATTACAGTATGCCTACTTGTCTTTGGTAGTTGAGTGTTGTCACTTGACCCCACCATTCTGGTATCAAATTAAACCCATCATCTTTAAGTTTCACAATTGAATGACTGAGCTCCTTACCACAAAGTCTGGCACACAAAGACCAATAATGGATCTCTCAAGGAGATTGATGCTCTCCTCACAAATCTGTTTCTTGTTTTTTTCAACTGAGTTACATCTTTTTATTCTTTTGGTAATCTCTTCCAGGGTTAACTACTTCCACTGTAGGTGATGAAATATATAAGGCTCCACTTCAAAGGCTGACACTGCTGTGAATAGGGTCTTTTCCCCCTCACTGCTACTCAGAATTAAAACTTTTATTCTTGTCTTATATTACACTTGCAGAAGTAGCTCCCACTGCAGAAGTTATCTGAAGACAGTCTTATGCCTTCTAGCAGTGGTCTGTGGCCAGGCTTTATCTTCTCCATGAACACCATGACGAATTAGTTTACACATGTATTAAACTAAGAGACATCCTCTCAAATGCATTTAAATGTACTTTATTTTTAGACAACCTATACAATTTGTGTTTTTTCCCTAAAAAACAACGTCTCCACTCCAGGTAAGTCACAGTCAAAATAAATGAAGCATTCAAGATGACATCAGTCCCATTTGTCTAAACTCCTGGTGTTGTGTGGCTAACAAGCAGCAGCCAGACAAGTGATAGACCCAAGATAACCAACGAATCCATTAACAGTTTTCCCTTTCTAAACCATCCTTAAAGAAAATCATAAATGCGCTCACACCATCCTCACTGTAGTCCAGGAGAGCAGCCACCTCATCTGGATCCATGTTTGCACCCATAAAGAACTGATAGTTTTTTAAATTAGCAAGGATGTGCTGGATTTGTTCTGCAGCCCCTGTCATAAACAGTTTTACTCTTTCTGGTCTTTGTTCTTCAAGTTTGCCTTTGATTGATTTCATATAGTCTTTGATGTACTTCTTGTGGGCCTGTTTTGTGAAGCTGGCTTCCTGCAAGTGATGCTTCGTGTCAATATCAATACCAACGCCTACGGCATTCTCCATGCCTTCGGCCTCTGGGCCTTCAGCAGAGGCATTTCCACCAATGAGCGAGTCGACAACGTTACCCTCTGTTCTACTGACCATCTTGCCCTCCACCTCCAGGCACAGCTTGTCCGTGATCTCCAAACCTTGTAAATGTCAGAGAACATCTCATCATAGCTGATGAGGTCGCGATAGAGAATCATGATGATGGCTGAAGGGAGACAGCCGCCACACTTGCTTAACAGGGCCTGGAGCTCAGGGTGAGCACAGTGCAGCCAGAGGAGCACTTCGGGGGAGGGCAATCTGTTTCTTAAGGCATTAGCAAAGGGTACATGTTTTGGACACTCACAGAGTGGAGGATTAGGTTTTATCTGGCAAACCCACTCCACCATTCCCATTCTCCTGAGCCTTTAAATACCCTCGTCAACAGTAAACCGAGGAATATCAGACATTTCCAGCTCATTCACAGTGAGCCTTCTCTTGATCCATATCTCAGCCAGCCAACCACATAAACTATGATGAGCACCACTTTAACTCCACAAGCTGCGACATTAAACTCAGAGTCTCTGCTTAATGAGCCCGTGTGAAGAAACTCAGTCTGACCCAGGTTTATATTTCTGCTACCACTATCCCAGACTCTTGAAATCCATTGCCATGCTTATTCCTCAGCCCTCTGCTTGTAAGAATTAGAAAACCCAAGGAGTTCTTTGGGATTGCAGAGGACTTCCTCAGGGGCCATGCTGCGACCTTACTTTTAGGCGCCTTGTAAGATTTGAACCTGGTTATAGATTTGGGGCAAAAGTGGGTGGTGAGGGTGGGTCCTGGGGAGTGTAGGCCATGATTAACACAGGATTAGTTTGCTCAGGTGTAGGAGGAGAGACCACCACAGGGGATGGGAGTGGGAACGTATCTGCCACTGGAGGTGGAGAAATCTCTTCCTCGGGCAAAATAATCTCATTAGAATTTAGGAGCTCAGTGTCTCCAGACTAGTTAGGTTCCTTCCGAAAATCTCCATTTCAATTTACAGGATCTCATTCTTTTCCAGTCAGCACTCTTACGTGCACTTGCATGCCCTTCAAGGCTGAGCATCAAGCTTGTACCATGATGGGAAAGAGTGACACCCAAAGTATGCTGCTTATGTTCACTGTACTCTGGAGTCTCTTTTTGGTGTTTATCACTGCAGAAAACCCTCCTTAATAAAGACAGGATAGTAAAAATAAAAGCAAGTTTTTCATTATTTTGCGGCAGTCTCAGGATATCCTGCCTTGACTTTAATCCAGAACACATGCAGATTTGAAATGGTCTCAAACATACCTTTAAGGCTACCATCACTTGTGATCTCAAGTAGTTGATCCTCTTTTAGCACAGATAAAGTCAGTTTATTTTGTTTATTCACAAATAACACTCCTTCAAAGTTTAGAGTCTTTTGCGGTTGAAAGGTGGTGCGTAGAGCCAGGCGTGGCATCTGCATACCTGTAATCTCAGCACTCGAGAGGTTGAGGCAGGAGGATCACTGCAAGTTCAAGGCCAGCCTGGGCTCAAGGCCAGTCTGAACTGCATAGCAAGACCTTGTTTTAAAAAGACAAAAAAAACACTAAAAAACTAAAAACATAAAACAAAAAATAAAATGAAAATGTGATCCTGAGGAAACGCTGAAGACCCCTACTTCATCAAAGAGGACCCTCTGTGGGATTACAGGCGTGTGCCACCACACCCTGCAGGATCACATTTTCAAAAATTTTAAAGGTTTGTCTTTTATTACAGGGTGCTTTGTCTCTATATGGTGAAGCAGTTTTGAAGACTTCATGGCTTCCTTGGATAGACAGTGGCCGCGTCTTAAACGAAATGGGTTTGGAGAATGTCAATCACCTGCTGCAATGAATATATAATTTAAGTAGAACTCTTGGCATTTTCCTCTAAATGCAGCTTCCTTTTTGTTGGAAGTCTTAGAATCTTCTGATATCACATCATTGGGTCTTTTCCTCTTTTCAAATGTCACTCCAGTGATATTTAGTTTTTACTCATTTTGGCTTGGGGTAGCTTTTTAGCTTACCAAAACTGTGACTGAGACAAGCATGCAGCATGGGCAAGGGGCACAAACAGAAGTGATAAATACAATAATGGGTGGCCACACCTGGACTGAAATAAATGTTGGATTCTCATTCCATGCCTTTCACCAGAAGCAGCTGTGCATTGGAAGTACATTGACTCACTTGCGACTATAAATTCTGGCGCTAGATATAGCTTCCCCATCACTTGCCACTCACTGATAGGTTTTTGAGCTGCGTCCATGAGCAATTGATTTATTGTGATCTCTGCGCAGTCAAATCTCCCTGCTAATGTGAATCTGCACTTGCAGCTGCCCCCTAGTGCAAGCATCACTGCCTCAGCTCACCTCAAGCTGCCGGCCATTAGAGTCTTAGAAGGAGTACATAACTGAGGTCCCTGTGTACGCCCGCTATAGTAGTGTTTGTGCTCCTATGGGAATCTGATGCTGCTGTTGATCTGATCCTGCTGGAGCTCAGGTGGCACTGCAAGTGATGGAAACTACTGTAAATACAGATGAGCTTTACCTGCTTGACCACCGTTTATCTCCTGCTTTGGAGCCTGGATTCTAACAGGCCATGGACAAGTACCAGATGATAACCCTGGGGACTGGAGACTGCTGATCTATTCAATTGATTGTCCATTGTGCTGTTTGTCTTTACTGCTAATTTATAAGAGTATTTTACATGTTATTCACACTAGACTCAGACATGTGACTTGAAATTGAAAGCATCTAAAAATGCTTATTTCCTCACATTCTATGGCTCATTATTTCATTTTGCTGGCAGAGTTCTTTCAAATACGAAAGTTCTAATCTTTGGTGGAGTCTAATTTGTCCACTTTCTCCCTTGGTGACTTGTTCTGCAAGTGTCACATAGAAGCCTGAAGGGCAAGCCAAAGTCACAAATATTTGCACACTCTATAAGGGGTTTATAGTTTTAGCTCTCACATTTGGGTCTTTGCTCCATTTTGAGTAAAGTTTCACACAAAGTGGTGAGAAGTTCGACTTTATTCTTTCCCAGGAAGATACCAGTTGTTCCAGAACCTCTTGTCAAGAGCCGGTTCTTTCCCCACTGGACTGTCTTCACCCTCCACTACTTCTTGCTTCTGTTTGGGGCACTGTTTCCCATACAATTCTTGGACTTGTTCTTCATCTGAGGTTTTGTCCCCTCTAGTCTATGGTACTCCGCCCTCTACCATGCAGTCTGGCCTTTCCCTGGCTCTTCACAGGGCCGTCCGTACATTTCTGGGGCTCTTTCTCCACATAGAGCTCTCTTGTCTAAGTGTGGGTCTCGCAGGCTCTGGTCATCACTGCTGCTCCCAAGTAACACCGTTGCCGCTCCCCTCAGCAATGCTGCATCGCCCTGTGGGCGCCCTCTTGGCCAAGGTGTTGAAATTCCCTCCTGACTAAAAGCTGCCTCCATACTGCCTGGCCTCGTGTTCGCACTTTACTCAGGGATCCCAGCCTGAATGTTATGTGATCTCTGATACAAAATAATCATTTTACAGGTTTCGACCTATTTCCTTCTGCAGTGGCTGAATAAGGGAACACAGCGTCCATCCCTTATGCCCAGCTAGATCTCAGTGCATCGTGTTCCAGCCTTGCCTGTCGCCACCTCTTTTCGTCTTGTTTCTCTGCTGCAGTATTTGCCTCCTCCCGCGTCTGTCTTCAGCCCAGCTTCTGGAGTGACCCCTCAAAAACATACTTCACATCCTGACTCTGCCAGACCCCTCCCCGTGCCCCCGTTTCACTCAGAGTAAAAGGTAAACTCTTAACGATGCCCTCGGCTTCCCGCAGTCAGTCCCACCTTCTCTGTGACCCCATCTGTGGCCAGCCCTCCCCACACGGTCAGCTTCAGCCCCGCCCTCCCCTCCTTCCCAGCACAGGCCGGGCACCGTCTTCCTTTCCTGGCCCGGACCCGTGTTCCTTGCCCGTTGAATCTTCTTTGTCCTGACTTGTTCGTGGCTCATTTCCTCCACTACCCTCAAGTCTGAGTTCAAATGTCACCTTGATGAAGCTGGCTATGATGATCCCGTCTAAAATACAAACACTCCCTTGTCCCCATTTGTGCCGTTCAACTTCTTCCATTTCCTTTTTCTCTATCACAGTTATCACCTTTTCTAATAGCACACAATTATATACCAGCATCTGATCAGGAGCCAGAACCACAAAATAGGATAAACAGTGACAGTTTACATAATGAACAGTTAACAATAGAGGTGCAAAGAGAAATATATAAAGAATACCTCAGGGTTGTGAGGCCTCATGTAAGGAAGGAATAGATGAGTGGGGTCCCGTTCACAAGGCTGGCTTCACAGCTGGTGGGAGAAGGTGCAGCTGCATCTCAGAGATGGGAGGATGTTTGCTGGGTTTCACTGTGCAAGAGCTGGTCATGGACTAGGGAAAGGCTAGCAGGTAGGGAAGGGTGGGCTGGCCAGGCACCAGGTAGCCTTTTATCACTCCCGTTGGCAGGTAGGTGGTGCTGGGAAGCCTCCGGTTTTCACTGGGATACACTTGTGGGGGCGCCACTAGACCTGCACTGCAAGCCCTTTGTGGGCGCCCACTGACGTCGGCGTGAGTGAGTGCCCCAGACATCCCTTACCTTTGCCACTGCCCATTGTGTAGCTGGAGGGTGAAGATGACAAGAAAGGGAAGCTTCTTCACACTGGAAAGGACAATCCATCCTCCTGATCCTCTATAACCAAGGCTGACTATCATGCCAGGTACAAGACAGAAACACCTACTGGGTCCATTTGATGATCGCCAACAAGGCAATGAAGGGTGTGTTGAAAGCTGGAAGCAAGAAATTGATCACTGATACCAAAATCATCTCATTTGTTTTGTTACTTTACCCCTGTGCCTAGAAGGTGAGCTCCAGGACAGCAGCACTTTCACTGATGAATTCTTTGTGCCTAGAAAAATCCTTAGCATATTGAAAGTGTGTAAAAACCATTGAATACATGAATGGATGTGTTTTACTCCTTCAAACCCCATATGCTATATCATCACATGGATTTACAAGTTTTTTGAGCCACTGCTATTTTAGTGGGTGCTGAAAGTATTTCCCTGAATGGCAAGGAAATCAAGGTAATCTTTGGGCACATCTGCTTGGGTCATGTGGGACTGCCTGCCCCATTCCAAGGATGTTTCTGAGTGAAGCTGCTCAATCTAGGGGCACATGAATTTTTAATGGCCATTCTGATACTTAAATTAATCTTTTCATTTTAGAATAAATGTAGATTTACATGCAGTTGTGAGGAATAATTCAGAGATCGCATGTATTCTTTTCCTCATTTGCCACTATTATATATTTCAAAAGTACAGGAAGTGTCACAAAGAGAAAGCTGACATAGACACAACCAAGACGCCAATCACTAACTTGAATCATTCGTGCGGCTTTCCTAGCATCGCTCCCCTCCCGCTACCCCTGCACCCTGACAAAGCTGATCCGTGCTCCCCTAATAGAAAGTCATCCCTTCGAGTGTTACTGACCGTAACTATACAGCACACAAAGCTATGGATTTCACCAGACCTTGGTGTTACTACTACGTTTTATTTTAGTTATTTGATAGGTATTTAGTGATGATTTTTATTTATTTCACTAATGACTAATAGCGCAGAATGGTTTTTCTGTATTTATTTGCTACTGCATTGTATATCTTGTATGGCCTCTTTCCTTTCATGACTTTTGCCCATTTTTTAATTTATCTTTTAATCTATTGAGTTTTGAGTGTTCTTTGTAAATGGAGAAATTAATTATTCATCAGATATGTGATTGCACATAATATCTCTCAGTCTTTCAATTTGGTTTTTTTGTTTGCTTAAAAGAGTCCATGAAAGATCACAAATTGTTAATTTTGATGGAGGTGATGTTATACATTTTTCCTTTGATGGATCATACTATTGGTGACCAATTTAAAAACTACTGACTTAGCTACATATTCCATTTTTTCTTTGTTTTCAAAAAGTTTTGATATAGTGAGGCCCTGTCTTTAAAAATAAGTGCTATACTTTTATATTTTATGTGAAAACCTATACTCCATTTTGACCTGATTTTTGTATGAGGTGTGAAGCCTAGGTGGGGTGTATTGGTTTTGTTCTGTCTGTGGATGTACAACTGCTCCAGCACCACATTCTTCAAAGGCTGTCTTTCCTCCCATGAATAGCTTTTGCCTCTTATTTAAGATCAGTTGGGTCAGTTTGCACAGATCTGTTATAGATCCCGTAGTCTACTTCTTCTACTGCTCTCCAAATGCCTCCACTGCCATTACCACGGGCATCAATCGCTAAGCTTAGGTAAGTCTTGAATCAAGTAGCCCAATTCACCTACTTCATCCCTTTTAATTTTTAGGTAATTTGAGTTTCTTTGCATTTTCATACAAATTTTAGGCTAATATCTAGGTCAACTAAAATTCTTTTGGGGATATAAATAGAGTATATCTTTATTAGCTTTTTTGGAAGAAGTAACATCTTTACTATTCCAACAATAGATTATGTATGTGCCTGAGTTTAGATCTTTGAATTATTTTGTCATCATTACGTAGTTTTAAGTATACAGTTCTGTACATGATTTGTTAGATTTACACTTAGATGTGCAATTCGAGGGGGTGGTAGTGGGGATTAAAACCAGAGTCTTTGCACTGAGTTATATAGTTACATCCCCAATCTCCCTCCCTTTTAAATTTTGAGACAGGGTCTTGCAAAATTGCCCAGACCAGGTTCAAACTCATGATCCTCCTGCCTCAGCCTCCCAAAGTGCTGGGATTATAGGTATGTGCCTCTGCGTCTGTCTATAATTATTTTTCAGTGATTGTAAGTAGTATTGTAGTCTTAATTTTATTGTCTCTTGCTATTATGCACACACACAATTGATTTCTGCATGTTTACCTTGTAATCTGTAACCTTGTTTATTTTTTTATTTCTGTAACCTTGTTTAACTCAATTGTTTGCTCTGTTTTTGTTTTGTTTTATTTTTGGTTCTCTGTCTGGAAATAAAGTTTTCTTTCTTTCTGATCTATATGCTTTATATTTCCTTTTCCCCCTTTACCACAACTGGATGGAACTTTTTGCCCTACGTTAAACACCAAAGGTGAGAATGGATGTTCTTTCCTTTTCCCTGATATTAGAAAGCGGACTCCATCACTCACCATTCAGCATAAGGTTAGTTTTAAATTTTCTGTAGGTACTTTTTGTGAAATGAAGGGAGTTTTCCTCTAGTCTTTTTCTTATAGTCGCTATCCTGAATGGGTGTTGAACTTTGCCAAATGGTCTTTCTACATCAATATAAACATGCAAATTTTTAAAATGTGTTAATATGGGTTGATTGTTTGAATATTGAATCAACTTTTCACCGTAGGAATAGATGTTTTGCCCATGCTATATTATTCTTTATATATAGCCCATTATTAATGTTTTATTAAGAAATTTGAGTTCATAATTTTTCATTAAAATTTTACTGTCAAAATTATCTATTTTATATTAAAGTTACACCTTTTTTGGAAATTTGTTTATTCATTTATGTTGTCAAATTTATGCAAATAAATCTACCTATACTTCCTCTTCATTATCCTTTCATGTCTGCAGGGTCTGTAGGGATAGTTTATCTTTCAATCTTAACACTGATAATTTCATATTCTTTTTTCTAGATTATTCTTGATTCTTGGTGTGTGTGCTACAATGACTGATTTTAAATGTCTCATCTTTTCTTTTTTGTTGTTGTTTTTGTTTTTGTTTTTGTTTTTCTTCTGGTACCAGGACTGGAACTCACGACCTTGCACTTGCCAGGCAGGCACTGTGCCGCTGAGCTAAATCCCCAGCCCCTAAATGTCTCATCTTTTCTATCATGTGCATTTAGTGCTATAAAATTCCCTTCTAGCACTAGTGCATCCTACTGGCTTTGTTATGTTGTGCCTTCATTTTCATCTAATCTACTTTTTAAAATATTATCTCAAAACTTCTTCTTCTTCCATGGATTAAAATTATGTTAATTACCTCAGAAGCACCCAGAGAAAGATTTCCCGCTAACTCTTGATATCCATTTCTGGTTTCTTTTCATATGGTCAGAGCACGCTTTCTACATGATTCCTATTCTTTTAAATACACTGAGTTTCATTTCATGATCCAAGATACGGCCTTATTCTGTGAATGTCCTATAGATGTTTGAAAGGAATGTGTGTAGGACTGTTGTGAGGAGTGCTCTACAGATGTGAATTGCATTACATTAATTAACAATGTGTCCGAGTCTTCAATGTGCTGTTGGTTTTCTTTCTAGCTACCTTTAATTGTTAAGACAGAAGTATTGGAGTCTCCAACTACCACTGAGGGTTTGCTTATATCTCTGTTCAGTTCCACCTGTTTGGCTTCACAGATTGTTCAGCTCTGTTATACGGTGCACCTGCATTTAAGGCTATTATTCCTTCCTGGGCTTGGAATATAGAAGAAGAACATTTGAGTAGCATGCACAAGGCCCGGGGTTCAATCCTCAGTATTGCAATAAGAAATTACAGACATTATTACATCTTCTCTGTGGAATGGTTCATTTATAATTATGTAACCACTTTCAATTTTTCTTTCTTCTGAAGTCTATTTTATCTGATATTAAACTAATATTTCAACTTTCTTTTACTTAATATTTATGTATATCATTTTCCATAATTTTACTTTCAGCCTATCTCTGTGGTTATATTGGGTACGTTTCTTGTAGATAACATATAGTTTTATCATAGTTCTTTACACAATCTTCCAGTCACTGTCTTTTAATTGCTATATTTAGGCCATTTATATTCAATATAATTATTAATATGTTAGAGTTTGTATTATTTTTTGCTCTACTGCAACAAAGTATCACAAAAAGGATAATACAAAACACAGAAACTTATTGTTTCATTGTTCTGCAGCTCAAAAATCTTAGACAAAGTGAGATATGGGAGGCAGAACATGAAAAATATATTAATGAATCTACCTCTGTGGGAAAATAACTCAGTGGTCCTGAAAGCACTCTGAGATACACAGTAGAAACATATCACATTGCCCCACTGGGAAGAAAGAACACAAACCATTAATCCCATCGGTCATTACCTCTATCAGCTGTGTGTGGTAATTCACCTGCCTATGTGTTTCAGAGGAACACAGAAGAATAGAGGATGTAGGCACTTTAGTGGGGAAGCTATGAATCTGTCAATGTGCTAGAAACAATGATAGCTATCAGTAGGCTGAGAGGGTCAGTCATCAATACCTCCAACCACAATCCATCCCTTGCACTCTGCTGACATTTTCATACTCCATATCAACTGTATTCCTTACTGATCTATAAGAGTGGTGGTAGACACAGTCTCTAAAATAATAAAAATAGATGGTTTGTGGTACAAGCTACAGTCTCCACTGTAATTGTTGTTGCAACCTTTGCTGGCTTTTCACCTTAAGCCCCTTTCTATTCCTTCTAACTGCACCTCAATCCCAGCTAGCACGTACTGTGCCCTGGTGCCATTGTTGGTGCCATCAAAATTATCTTAGACACAAATGTTGAATAAATCCAAGGCACCTAAGAATTGGCAATGCCAAGAAGCTAGGACCACTAGGACACTCAATGCAGGGTAATGAAGGATGTTACTAATGATGGTGAGACAAACTTGGAGTAGGGGCAGTCCAACAAGACTACTGCTAGAAAGTAATACAGTCACAAGCAGAAACACCCAGAAAGTGGTGCACTGGGGTGGGAAATCTCTCCTCTCCAGTTCTATCATCTCACATCTTTAGGCCTTGACTTCTCCCTCTACTTCCTGTTCCTCATGAGTTGACCACAATCTGTTGCCTTATCACCTGTTGATGATGTCCACTACCAATGTAATTTAACCAGTAAGAAAAATGCAGTTGGAAAAACCCAATAGAATTCAGCCCAAAGGACACTGTGCAGAGCAGGTGGACTGTGGGAGAGAAGGTGGACTATGGGAGACTATGTGCAGAGAAGGTGGACTATGGGAGACAGTGCTCCAATAGCCCCAAGCATAGAATTCCTGGTGGCAGGGCTCTTCTGTAGTCATTTGTGAATTTTGTTTCCCATCTTTTTCAAGTGTGCAATTACTTGTATCAACGTTGTAAAGTGAATGGATAAACAATTCCCACATAAGTGTCTGGGACACGGCCAAAATGAACAGTGTACAGAAATGTATCTCCCTGACATGGAGACTATGGCCTGTTCACTAATATCTGGTACCTGCCCTCCACACTCTCAGGAGAACGGCTTTCCTGGTCAACAGCACCTTCCATGTTGGGGCCAAGTATTGGAAAAATGCCAGCACCTTTAGGACAACCCAAGGTATTACTCCAGGAGTGTTCTATGGGAGACAGGTATTACTCCAGGAGTGTACTGTGTAATGAGTACTTGGGGCCTCCCAATTTGGGGCCAGAGAAACACAAATGTGCCCCTTCCTCCCCTCCCTTCCCCCTCCATCTCATGGATTCCTTATTTGCAGATATATAGTCTAAAGTGATGAGAACAGTAGCTTTGGGAAGGGACAGCCCAACAGGAAAGGAACAATGCCATGCAGAAAAATGCCTCAACCCTGGAACAATAGTGAAGACCTCCCCCTCCTTCCCTCTGTCTCACAATGGTGTCTGCTACAGGTTGACACAACCTCCTGCCCTACTATCTCAAGACAGCATCCCATAGACCTTGGCCTCTGGCCCTACATTCAGTCCACTATGGATTGATGCCATTGACTGGCACTATCATTCCCAAATGGTGTCTATCAACATCTGAACTTAACCAGTATTATTACTTTCTTTGTCACTGTAACACAATCCCTGACACCCACAATTTAAAGGCAGAGAGGTTTATTTGTCTTAGTTCCCTGTGAGCTCAGTCCAAAGTTAGCTGCCTCCAATACAGAAACACAGGGTGGAAGGTAACAATGAAAGAAATCTGCTCCACCACCACCACCACACGCAAGAAACAGAGAAGGGAGAAGCCAGAGTCAAGAATACACTTTTCCGACTCACTTCCCAGTGACCCAGCTCTAATAAGGCTCTATCTCCTAAAATGACATTCAACTACTGAAGTCATCCATGGATAAACCCACTGGAGTGCAGCACCCACATAATCCAAATACCTGCTAAACACAAGACATGTTGGGGAACATTTTAGACTTAAATCATAATATTCTACCGCTGTCCCTCAAACGATTCATATCCCCCTCATCATGAAAAATACATTTACTCCATATCTAAGAGTCACCAAAGACTTAACAGTGTTCCAGCAATGCAAAAACATCCAAGTTCAAAGTCTCGTCTGAGACTCAAGGCAAACTCTTAGCTGTGAGTGATGTAAAAAAAAATTTTTAAGTTAAATACTTCCAATATACAATAACATAGGGTAGAAATTCCCATCCCAAAAGGGAAAAATGGAGGAATAAAAATGGAACCAAAGCAAGACCCTGCAAGGAAAATATTAAATCCTGTAGCAATATGTCCAGCACCTGGGGCAGGTTGTGGTGCTACATGAACACCAAAGTGCTTGGATAGCCCCATCCCCATGACATTGCTTATGACAGCCCTTATAACCTCTTTTTGGGGTGGCTCTGCTCACCACCCACAGCTTGTTTCAACACATTAAAAACATCTCTAACTTCTTGGGGTCCCCACTGAACCTTTGGCATTACTCTCACAGCTTCATGCACTTCCCTATCAAGGGCATACTACCCGGGCTTCCAGGCCTTCTGTTGAAATCTATGTGGAAGCCTCCATGACCCCATAACTCTTTCATTCTGCACGATGATAAAACAAACACCCTGTAGATGACACCAAGGACTATTACCATCTCAAGTCATAGCCAGGCCCCCTTACATCATGCCTGAAGAGGCCTCTCAGTGCCTGATAGCTGAACATTATCAAAGGAATACTGGGGAACAAATTCCCTAGACAAATGTCCTCTGGCAGGGGACCCTCTTCAGCAGGCAGGGACTGTCTTCTGAAATGAAAGATTTACACTTTGACACCTCTGAGTCTGTGGCAGATGGGGTCTTGTTGATCCCTGAGACACCCTTAAGCCATCTTCCCTATTATCCTGGTGTGGCTTCTTTTTAATGCTAATCCTTTCAGCAACCATGTTCTCCACAGCCCAAATTTAGCAGGGATTTCCTGTCTAATGAAACTGCAAACTTGGTTCCTGATTTTCACTGTAGATCTGGCTAAAAGCAGTCAGCAGTACCCATGCCGAAGCTTGAACATTAGAACATCAGTCTCCTGCAAAGTCTCAGGACATGGGAAAAAGAAAATGAAGAAAAATTTTCTGCCAATGTGTGACACACACAACCTCCAGTCCAACTGCCAATGGGGTCTTGGTTTTCAGTTGAAATTTCCTGAGCCTCCTCTTTACTGTCCACATTCCTATTGGCATCCTGGGCTTCTAAACTTGAACCAGAACCTGCCATCATTTTTTGCTTACTCAGCTTACCGCATTCTAAGACTTCTGTTCGCTATATCTCAAAAGCTTTGCAAACTCCTCCTGCAAACCAGTTTGAAAGGCTTCTGCACCACACAGTCAGTTATAGTGACAACAATGACCCCACTTCTCTGGTACCAATATCTCTATGAGTCACTTTCTTATCACTGGGACAAATAGCTAACACCTACAACTTTTAGGAAGAGAGATTTATTTGGCTCATAATTTCCAGTGGTCTCAGTCCAAAGTTTAGCTGGCTCCAAGGTGGAAATGCAGGGGGGAAGGGCATGGCAGAAGAAGACTGCTCAACCTGTGATAGTCCAGAAGCAGAGAAAGAAGAAAGGATTCAGGGACAAGAATACACTTCTCCAGCTCATGCATGCCTCCCATGATCCCACCAGGCACCTCTTAACAGCACATTCAGCTGCTGAACTCAAAGAGTTAATCCCTTGGAATATAATGATATGTATAATGGTAAGTATAATGATATGTGTGATGCCCTAACAATCCACTCAACCTCCAAACACACGAAACTTCAGGATACATTTTAGATCTAAATCATTACAACAAATATCCAACACTATAGCTGGGGACCTTGGTAGAATTCAGTCTCTTGGGACCCAGAGCAGGGCAGATGGAAAATGAGAGACAGCTGCACAGCTCCGATGGGTTTGGAGCTGTCAGTCATCTTTGCACGTTGTTTCCTGTTGGTTTTAAGAATGTCCTTACATGTACCCATACACTAAGTGCACAGATCAATGAGTCGCACACAAGTGAAATACAAGGTGTCTTGGATACAGAAACAAAAATGAGGACAGAAAAGCTTCCTCACTGATGTGAAGACTCCAACCTGCTAAGCAATCTCTGGTCCTGAAGACCACAGGCCTCGCCCTTCCCACCTCCCGTCAGGGACAGGCTTCCTGGTCAGCAGCCCTTTCCACTCTGGCACCAAGTATTAGCTCACACCAGCACCTTCAGGAAAACTCTAAGGCTTATAGAGAGTGCTAAATAGTATTGTTTAGCAAGTACCTGGAGTTGTCCAATTTTGACCCAGAGAGGCACAAAAGTGCCACTGTGGGGCCCCAACTCCTGTATCCACAGCTCAAGTCACAGTTCTCTGAGCAAATGAACTGCAGCATTCGGAGGGGGAGGGCAGACTTCTTAGGCAGAAAGTGGCAGGGTCTAAGGCCAGCAGGGCAGGTACCCAGGGAACTAGCCAGGGACTCCTTCCAGGTAGGTGTGTGGCTTCCTTGTGCTTCTTGCCCAGTTTATCCAAAGAGAATAAGGGTTAAGGCTGTTGTGTCCGCATGTGGGTGGTCAAAGCTGATGAGGAGAAGGCCTTTGTGATGTAGGGGGCCCCACTGGGGTGAAGTCAAGGGAGTTGCATGAGTGTGAATTTATGAAAAGCTATGGTGACGCTTGGCCCTGAATCCCACTACATGTAGGATGGGAAGGAAGAAACCAACATCCATGGCGCCTCAGTCATGCCAGGGTGCCTGGAGGCCTGCCATGTCCTCTCAGTGGATCTTCTGATTTCTAAAGCAGCAGAAGTTTTAAGTTCTCTTATTAGAGAGGCAGCCTTTGCATGCACAGAGGTGAAATAACTTGGTTTATTCCTTTAGTGGAAAACCATGTATGACCTCCTAACATGTGTCTAGAACTGTGTGTGCAGCCACAACAGAACTGTGAGCCCAAGCAGCCAACTCCCTGTTCTTACACTGTAACCGAGGGGATGGGAAGGGCACAGACAGAGGAAGAGAACAAGGCACGAGTAGGCAGCGCCAGAGTACAGAATGAAGGAGGGGTCAGGAAGTAAAGGTGCTCCCCTGAGCAGGAGGCGAGACGTGGCTCCCTTAGAACTTGGCCCTGGCCAGCCATGGGTGCTGAGGGCAAAGAGGGCAGGGATGGGAGGGAGGAAGCCAGATCTCCTGTCTGGGTGGGCTGGGCAGTGGGCAGGACCCCGGGGTGGGCAGACACTGGCCGGCACTGCGGTCTTTGTGTCCAGTGGCATTAAGTTGTTATTCATGGGATCCCAACAATAACAGCACTGCACTCGTGATGGATGTGGACTTGGCGTGAGGGACGGGCGGGAGGGGCGTGGTCAGTGCCAAGTGCGCACTGGCCCTGGCTGCAGGGGACATAAAGGGCGTCCAGAGGGGAGCCGACACAGCCTCGTCAGACTCCAGGAGACCTGCGTGGCCGCGAGCACAGCGCTGAGATGAAGACCCTGCTCCTCACCTTCGTGCTGCTTGGTGTGGTGGCCGCCCTGCCAGCTGAGGGCCCTCTGTCCTTCCTCTCAAAAGAGTTGGATGTGAGGCCGGGCGGGGTGCCTAGGGTAGGAGTAAGGCCGTGGCCACTGGACAGCAGCCAGCGACTGGGACCCCTGTTTCAAGAGGTGTCATTTAAGTCTGGGTTCTGAACCTGCACTTTGAGCCCCAAATGTGACCAAGGGATTCAGCGGTTCTGGAGGCACACAAGGCCATTCCCGGGGCAGGGCTGGAGCAGAAACCTCCGAGCTTAGGTCAGGATCCTGCCGAAGAGACACCCACAGTCAGAAGGCTGCCCAGGGCAGGAAGTGGGGGCTCACCTGGTGCCTCGTGCTAAGGCCACATACCCAAAGAGAATGGAACTGTTGAGGAGGAAGCCAGCCTTGCTCCACGGGGCACAGGCTGGGGTGAAGGGAAGCCAGGCCCGTCTCTAGGGGCTGCACCCTGGGGTCTGTGAGCATCAGTTTAGCTGCAGGTCAGCATGTCAGGCTGGGCCATGGGTTCAGGTCTCGGCCTGCTCCAGGTCACAGGGACCTGGTACCTGAAAGCTATGGTGGCCAACAAGAACCTGTCAGAGGAGGACCAGCCCAAGAAGGCATTCCCTGTGATGATGACAACCCTGGAAGGAGGGGACGTGGAGGCCAAGATCACCTACGTGTGAGCGTCACCCATGAGGGACCCTCCACCTGCTATTCTTCCCCTCCCTCGTTCACCTTTGAATGTTGGTGTCAAAGTCCCCGGACTTTGAGGGGACATAGCCAGCATCCTACAGCTCGGGCAGGGGTGGGATGGGTTTTCACCTGGTCAGGGCTGAGCGGGGCTCCAGGGGGGCTGTGCTGGGCTCCGCCGAGTCCTGAGAGCAGCTGCTCCTGCGCCTCCTGATTTCCAGCAAGAAGGGGCGGTGCTACGAGGAGAAAGTTCTGCTGCACAAAGCCCAGGAGCCTGGAAAATACAGCGCCTGTGAGTCCTGCCTGCAGTGCCCTGAGCTGGGGCTGCATGGGGAAAGTGGGAAGTGGTGAACGGTCCCTGCCTTGTCCGCCCCCCAGGAGGGGCGTCCTCTTCCTTCCTGGCATCTGTGGCCGAACAGCAGACATCTGAAACTTTGGGTTTGCCAGCAGCGTGGATGCCCAGGTCGCATCTCTCCCTGGGTGGTCCTAATACTGACCCCTGGGGAAACTGAGGCCAAGGAAGCAGGGCAGGGCAGCTTCTCAGAGCTGGTGCCACACTCCAGCCTCGATGTCCCTGGCCTTTACCATCTGAGCTTGACACGTGAGGTTCACCCCTCTCCATGGAGGCCATCACGGGACCGGCTGGGCTGGGTGCATCTCCTGGGTGGCGGTCAGCACACTCCAGACTCTTCCTAGGTGTGGTCTTGGATGCTTTCTCTAGGAACAAAGATACTTCAAGCTAATTTCTTGTGTTCTTCTACAGATCAGGGCAAGATGTCCATAAACATAGAGGAGACGTCTGTACGGGACCACATCCTCTTTTACACTGAGCATGTTTTACATGGGAAGATGATCCGCATCGGAAGCCTCATGGGTGAGGGTCCTTTGGAGAGCCCTGTCTCCTACCTCACTGTCCTGGCTTTGAAAAGCCAGTAAAGCTGGCAGCAGCTGTGTCCTGGCATCAGGGTATTAAGAAGGTCCCTGTGCTGGCCTTGTGGTGCTGGGCACAGTGCTGCCTGGGCAGAGTGAAAGCTCTGTGGTGGGAAGGGGTCAGCTGGGAGGGGTCTGTCCACCATGGGGCAGACATTGCCTTTGGTGATGCAAGCCACCGAGTGTCACTTCTTAGGGTCTCAGAAGCCAGAGGGGATTAACATAACTGTCAGGACAGTTATGTCCTGACAGAGGCCTTAGTGGGACAAGGTGCCTCCAGGGTGAAGGGACAGAACAATGCCTCTGGGACACAAGGTCCTTGCAGAGCTGCTCAGAAGCCACTCTATCCCCTGGGTCACACAGTGGGTTCAGATATCCCAGCATGACCCCCTTCCCAGGGCCCTGTCAACTGGGCCATCTTCATCCCAGTCTTCAACCCAGAGTTTATCGTCCTCCCTTAAACCTCCCTCCTCCCCTGCCCTTGGCCACTTTGGGTGGCTGTGTCCTTCGGCCACTGGCTTCCTGCAGAGCTGTGCAGCCATTGCTCCTCTGTTCACCTGGCCCCTGCCCCACAGGGAGGACCCCTGAGGAAAACCCGGAGGCCCTGGAGGAATTCGAGAAATTCACACAACACAAGGGACTCCCGCAGGACAGCTTCATTCCCGAGCAGAAGGGTGAGCGGAGCGCTCTGTTCCATGTTCTCCGCCGCATCCCCTCTGGGTCTCCAGTGTCCCCTTTGTGTCTCCCATGTTCCTGTGAGTCCACGTGTATCCCTCATGTCTCCCTGCGTCCCTCCCGTCTGTTCCCTGTGCATCTCCTCTGTCACCTCCCCTGGTCACCCGGACTCTCCCTGGGTCTTGCCCACTGGGGAGTCTGAGCTGCAGGGATGATGGGGTGGGGGCCTCTGTCCCAGATACCATCTCACCTCTGAGTTTATGTTGCTGTTTCAACAGAAAACTGTGTGCCCGAGTATGACTAGGATAAGTGACGCGCTGAGTGGATGTTGAAAATGCCCAGAATCCTGAATTTCTCCTATTCCAGCATCCATTCCTTTGGCTCCACTCCTTTCCCAACCAGGAAGGAGAGACCCCACCAGGCCAGGCGGGAGTGGTCACCTCAGGAGTTGACCTTGTGTACCCTCCAGACATCTTTACCATTACCAACAGCAGTTTAGCCCCATCATCCTTCCCATCCCCGGTGTCCACTTAGTCTGGTCCCCACTACACAAACCCACCAGGGGTTCTCAGAGACCAGGCCATTCATGGAGAAGATAGGATCACCCTTGGTGCCATAACCACCAGCAGGGGCTGTGTGGTGGCCTGGGGAAAGATCTCTGATCTGGCACCACCCCAGCACCTCCTGCCTCTCCCTGTCCCTACAGGAGTGGCCCCAACCTCTGCTCCCCTTTCTGTCACTATACCCAACCAGGTCTGCGCCTCCTGAGTCCACCATCCTGCCTACTGGCCTGGCCTCCTGAACAACCCCTCCCTCCACAACCTCCTGCAACACCCCTGGTCTCACCTGACTCAAAATAAACAACTTCAGCAGCCTTTCTGTGTTTGGCCTTCTGTGTGAAGGGACCTTGGGTCAGCTCCCTGAGAGTTCTGCTAGGAGGAGGAGCCAGCAGGATTGCTGGGGAGACCTTAGACCCAGCAGGCCCCAGACACCCAGGAGCATGGCTTTCTACTGGTCTGTAGGGCCATGAGATTCCTGGAGACCACCATATGAGCTGTTGCCCCAAGTGGTTTTAGTCAAGACTAGGACCTGAGTAGTCAACGGGAGGACAGGAGAGAGAAGACATCTTCGTATGGTTTACAGCTGGGTGTTTCCTCAAAAACCCATGCATGCAGGGGTGGAACTTTGGGGAGGTGACTGGATCATGGGGACACTATACATGGCATCAGTGCTTTGTCCCCTGCCCTCATGAGAAGAGCTCCATTTCAGCCAGCTTCTTCCCCTTTTTATTCTATCCGGACTGCAAGCCTATTGGTTGGTGCCACCCACATCCGGGGTGGATCTTCACTCCTCAGTTTGCAGCCTATACATCAGTTATCTACAGACACACCCAGGACTGTGCTCCACTAGGCCACCAGGCATTTCTTAATCCATTCAAGTTGACATCACAGTTAGCTATCACAATTATAATCTTCTAAGTTTATGTGATTTTTTAGTGACATATTTCATTACTTGACTGAGTGGTGCTCAAGTGTGGGCTGCATAGGGGACAAGAGAATGCTGCGCTGTGAATTGCTAACTCTGCCTCCTGTGACTGCCACAGCATCAATCAAACCAAACACCCTAAGGTATCAGACATCACAGGCGCTTGTGTGGCAAACTTCAGCAATTACTGATAATATTTCAGCCTACCTTCTTGTACGTCCCTGTCAACAGGTGTTTACTGTTATTAAGAAGACTTGAAAATTTTCTTATTTAATTATTAAATGGACTTGTGTTATTTTATAAGATAGCTTAGTAAGTTAATTATTTGCAGCTGGAGGATAGGAAGTGCAAAAATGTATCAAAAGGGAGATTCCATCATGGTGGCCTAGAGGAGGCAGCACTGTCGGCCACTCTGAGACACTCTCCAGGTCAGTAGGTATAGCTGCATGAGGTGACAGCAGAACCTCCCATGGGAAGATGACCTCAACACCAGTAATGCACTCAGCAAGCTAGAAATCAGGAAAATATTTCCATTCCCAATAACTTCAAAAAGAATTGCCTACCAAAGAATCAACCAAACCAAGGTGGTTAAAGACCTCTTAAAAAAAAATTACAGTATACTGGAGAAATAAATTGAAGATGGCTCTCTTTTCTTGTCTTTTTGAGAAAGGGTCTTCCTATGCAGTTCAGACTGGCCTTGAGCTCACTTTGTAGCCCAGGCTGGTCTCGAACTCACAGCAGTCCTCCTGCCTGAGCCTCCTGAGTGCTGAGATTACAGGCGTGCACCACCACGCCCAGCTGAAGATGACTTTAGAAAAGGGAAGTACATGCCTTGTTCTTAGACTGGCAGAATTAAATAGTTAAAATGGTCATATTACCAAAAGTAATCTATAGACTTAATGCAAACCCTATTAATATACAAAGAACACTCTTCACAGACTAGAAAAGATAAGCAATCCTGTATTATATTTAAAATTTTTAAAAACCTTAGAATAGCCTAAGCAATCCTGACCTTAAAAAATAACATGGAGGCATCACTGCACTGGACTTCAAACTGTACTATACTATAAAGCTATAGCTACTGCAACAAAAACAATGTGGTACATGGAGACCAGTGGAACAAAATAGAAGATATAGAACCACATTCAAACATTTACACTCATGTGAGTTTTGACAAAGGGGCTCTCTTAGTTACTTTTCTCACTGCTGAGACAAAATACCCAACACCCAAAGTTAAAGGAGGGAAGGTTTCTTTAGCTCACAGTCCACAATCCACTGGCTCCACAGCAGGGTGGTAGAGAGGGGCAGCCATTCACTATAGCAGACAACAGCGAAAGGAACAAGCCATAGAGGACAAGATTTATATTGTCCCTTATAACATATGCAGGCTATCCGCCCTAGGGCTGGTATAGCACTCACGCCTTTAATCCTATCCAGAACTATGCCAAACCAACCAGTGGACTGATTTACTAATCACACACCCTTAATTCCAGCACTACACACTCTAGATTCTGCTACCTATGAAAAAAACCCCATGACTGCATGAGGTTTTGGGGTGTATGTAGTCACAAACCATAACAAGGGCCAAAACCATATGCTGGAGAAGAGATGGTCTCCTTAATGAATAGGGCTTGGAGACAGGCCAGCCATATGCAGAACACTGAAACTAGACCCTTATCTCTCACCCTGTACTAAAACCAACTCAAATGGATCAAAGACATAGATATAAAAACCAGCAACAATGAAACTGCTGGAAGATAATATGGGAGAAAAATTTGAAGCCACAGGCACAGATTGTCTTCCTGAACGGGAACTTCAAAAAGACAGAAGCCAGGTGTGGTGGTGCACACCTGTAATCCCAGCACTCGGGAGGCTGAGGCAAGAGGATTGCCATGAGTGCAAGGCCAGCCTGGGATACATAAGTGAGTTCAAGGCCAGCTTGCTGCATGGTAAGGCCTCTCAAAAAAAAACAAAAGCAACAAAAAAGACAGAAATAATATCAAGAATCAACAATTGAGACATCAAATCTAAAACCCTGCACATAGGAAAGGAAACAGAGGAGTGAAGAGATGACCCTGGGATGGGAGATCTTTGCCTGCTACTCTCCTGATGGAGGACTAATATCTAGAGTATATAAAGAACTTAAAAAATGAACCTCAGGAAAACAGTGGATCCAATTTGTAAGAATGGGCAAGTGAACTGAATAGATACTCCGCTATCTGTTCCTCCGTCTCTATCAAAATACAAATAGCTAAAGGTATTCAAAAAATGTTCAACATCTCTAGCCATCAGAAAAATGCAAATTAAAAGTTTATTAAGGTGCCACCTCACCCTGGTTGAAATGGCTATTGTCAAGAACATAAAAAACGTGAATGCTGGCAAGATGACAGGAGGAATCTTCCTACATTTTTGGTAAGAATATAAATTAGTACCACTACTATAGAAATAAATATGGAGATCACTCATAAGATTAAACATAAAAGTCCCATTTGACCCAGCTATGCCACTACTGGGCATAATTCCAAAAGAATTAAGGACTACATACTATAGTGATACATGCATACTGTGTTTGTAGCAGCACAATTCACAAGAGCTGAGCTGTGGAAACAGCCTAGAAGGCTGTCAACAGATAAAGGTAAAGAAAACGTGGTATGAATACACAAGGGAATATTACTCAGCCATAAAGGAAAATGAGATCATGTCATTCTCCAGGAAATGGATGAAGGTCAGTTAAATAAAATTAGCCAGTTCAGAAAGTTAAACATTGCATTTTCTCATATATTAGAAACCTAAAAATACTTACATACTAATTAAAATAAAGGAGAGAGTTTAGGAAATAAAGAGGTAGACTTCTGGGGATTGTGAAGGGGAATACAATGGGGAATGCTGGGATTAAAATTGATTAAAATAGGGCAACCAGGAAGCCATGAGGCGGGGAGCACAAGTCTTCGGCCAGCTCCCTGCCTCATAGGCACCCGGAAAGAGGGCCCCTGGTGCTCTGGAAGCAGTGGGGCAGGGAGCACTGGCCCTTGGGCCAGACCCCAGGCCAGCAGGCGCCTGAGAGGAGGGGCTCTGGCCCATGGTAAGGCACACGGCGGGAGCACCCATCTTCGGGCCGGTGCCCTGCCTTGTAGGCGCCTGGAAGGAGGGCCCCCGGCGCTCAGGAAGCCACCAGGCAGGGAGCACTGGCCCTCAGGCCGGCCCCCAGCCTAGCAGGTGCCAGAGAGGAGGGGCTGCAGCGCACAGGAAGCCACGTGGCGGCGAGCTCTGTTGCGCACTGGCCCTCAGGCCGGCCACCCCACTCAATTGAGAACTACCATGACACAGAGAAACAGTGACACAATTGGCCCACCATATACTGGCTGCAGATGCCCACCCACGGACGTGTGTGAATCATTCAAACATGGAGAAACCCCTGGGAATACATGCCATGCAACAGGCCACTCTTGCTCCTGCCATTGAGAACCAGAAAGGTCCAGAGTCAGCGGAGAAGCAGCTGCTGAACAAGGACTCACAGAACGTGAGAATACAGACTAAGCCTGAGGAGTCAGAGGTCCTGTGGACTGGGGTCATGAGAGCCATTTGGAAGCTGTAAACCAGGAGGACCTTGCACAATACATGCGGAGACTCACTGGAAGCCATGCTTCCCCTGACAGTACAAGCTGCGGTGGAGCTCCAGAGAGGTCTGCAGCAAGATTCCTGCTGCCTGTGCTGACAGTTGGGGAGAGGACACTAACTGGTTGCAGGGTCCCAATGCAATGGGAGAGTGGAGAGAAAAAGCTACAAAGAATGGCTTTCACCCCAGATGGCTCACTTGAGATGTTAGTAAGAATTGCCTCCTCAGTATTCTATAGCCATGATGAGGAGGCCAAGGAGAGAAAACAAAGAGACAGAAAAAGCAGCTGCTTTTGCTGCAGCACTAAGAGAAACAGATCCCAAGTCTGATTCCCAGGGCCCCAAGAAGAACTTCACAACTGCATTGATCTGCTACCACTGTTAAAAGCCAGGCCACCTCAAGAGGAACTGCCCTAAGAGGGCCCCTGGGCCATGCCCTGAATGCAAAGGTGCCCACTGGAGATCAGTCTGCCCTCTGAAGCGGAGGCCCCAGAGCTCAGACCCATCCTACCGGTTAGTCCAACAGGAATGAGAGGGCCCAGGGCATACTCTGCCTTCTCCCTCTGGCCAGACTGTCACCTCCATGGAGGAGCCCTGGGTAATCATGACTATGGAGGAACAAGAAAACAGCCTGTTGCTAGACACAGGTGCAAGTCTCTCAGTCCTTCTTTTCAATTCTGGCCTTCCTTCCAGCCGTCAAACCCAGTGACAGGAGTCACTGGTGAGGAGGTGATACATTATTTTTGACAACCCTTAGGCTGTAACTACTTGTTAG